GAATTCTAAAAGGTGAAAAGACCAAAGTCTCATTTGAACCCAGAGAGCTTGATGAGTTATTGGACTGAGGAATGGAAGGGAGGGAGGGAGGAAAATCTAGAACTACTCTCATATTTCTGGCTTTGCTGTTGATCCTCATAAAAATATCATGAGAGAGGGTAAGTCATGTTAATATCTCCCTTAACCTTGTCCTCTAGTCAATGGGAGGAGAGGGGCTGGATCCTAGGTCTCTTAACTCTGGGAGAAGAGGTCTGGTAGAAGAGATTCTGGATGCAGTCTTCTTGGGTTTAATGCCTACTTAACTACATCTCAGCTGAATGGACTTAACAATTCCATGTTTCTGTTTCCACAATTATAAAACAGGGGTAGTAATAATATCTATCTCAAAGGGTGGTTGTCAGGTTGAATGAATGTATACATGTAAAGCACTTAGAATGATGCCTGGCACCACTAAGTTATAATAAATGTTACTATTGTTAGCTATTATTACTGCAATGAGTTCAATGAGACTGATCTAAGAAACCAGAATGAACTGTAGCAGTGAGGGCCTATTGGTCATATTCTCCATAGTGGAGAAATATAAACCAATCCAAGTACAGTTACTTAAAACCACTCCTAAGGTGAGACAGTATAGCATTGAGTTGAAGACAATGTTCTAGGCATGTTGACCAGAAATTAAGAAAATTATTTCTGCAGATCTCACGGAGACTATGTTTTCTGCATATTCAGGTTTTAATTTTCAGAAACTGCGATATCACAAGTCACTTCCATCAGAGGAATGACACAGCAAAATGAAACTTCCACTCCAGGATGAGCAAGTCAGACAGGTTCCTTACATAACAAGGGCTTTGGCACCCCACCCAGGGCTTGGTTCCTTGCCAAACCTTCACACCCCCCAGAAAAAGGTATCAAGATATTTAGAAACTTTGGCCATGGGACAAAGTGCAGACCAATGCAATGGAAGGTCGACTCTATACTGACTCAGAGGAAACCCTGAAAGACGTGGGGTTGGATCCAAGTCAAGACTAGAGACCCCTGGTGTTTCCAATTCTGTCACAGCATGCTGGGGGGAATCTTGAATACAGAACCGTCTGGATCCAGTGGAACCCATAATACCCACAAATCTTCCAGAGGTTCTGAATGGCCTTCAGTTAAATGTCATGTCATAAGAATGAAGCTTCCCCCCAGAGCCTTTCCCAGTGCATGCAGTACTTTCACCTACAAAGAACAGTTTGCGAAACAAAAAAGCTCTAAATTTCCTAAAGGAAAGAATAACCCAAGCCAAGAAAAGATAAAGATCAACTTTCTATCTGGAGAACAAATATCTTTCTATGCCTGACGAAACTAAACATTTACCAATGCTTTTGGCATAAACATTACATTCATTTTTCATTCTGAAGTTCAGGAGGTAATTGTGGGACTCTCACACCACTCACTGTATCTGGAGGAAAAAGACTAATCAGTTCTATAACATCTAGGATTTCTGTTTTTCTGAGGCATCTTGCTCAGATGACACTGGCTTTGGGACTAGATAAGTCGATGTTCAAATATTCTAGGTGTTTTTATGTTAGGGAATTTAATTTATCAGGATTAATGCTATTTTTTTAACCTCACATTGAAAAAGAGGGACTGGATTTAAGACATACCAAAGACAAATAAAAACTCCATTTTTGCTTTTGCAATTTTAATTGAAGAAGCCTGTTGAACAGGTAGATTTCTACCTTAATGAGAATCATTTTTGTTCATGTCAGGTATTGTCCCTGGCATTGATAATTTCCACAATAGTCCTTCAAGGTAGCCATTATTGTTTCACTATAGGGATGAGGAAACCTGGGTTCAGAGAGGTTATATTGGCTAGAAGGGGAGTATGGGAGTGGGGAAGCACCAACTATTCAGTTTTTCTCATTGTATCATGATGTTTGTCCCTAAAGAAAGGAGATTGCCCTAGAATGAGTGTGTTTTCTGGTTTACATCATTTAGATCAGATTCAGACCTTCATTAGAAATTTAACTCAACCCTTTGCCAAAGGGTAGGTGTTTTTGTGATGAAATCACACTTTCTTTAAGGGCCAATGTTTCATGTTTTTAGATGTTTGTTTTTTTTTGCTCTCTTGCTGCAGTGCAATCAATCTAAGCAGCTCAGGTATAGAAGCACCTGCCATTTATGAGGAAGTCTTAGGCAAATGCTGTTGAGAGTAGTACCCAGTTCACTCATTTCACATGCCCTTAAGGGCCTGGTGGGTAGAAGTTCAATAGGGTGTGTCCTCTTTTTCAGGGGTATCTCCTCCTTCTACATAGTCTTGCTCCTTCACCTTATATAAAAAAATAGCCAACTCATCCAACAACCAGCCCCCCCTTACTGCCCCAGTATATTAACAGGTAAACTCCTGGAGGACACTCTACATTTGATTTATTTTTGTATTTTCCATGCAACACTTGCCCAAGCCCTGCTAGCAGCTGGGGCTCTATTGATCCTACAAGAAAATACAAAGCAAGATGCTACATGCCAGGAGTAGATGAGGGCACCAAATAATTCAAACCCCTTGGGTGATGTGCATTAAAACCCCTCCAAATCTGAGGATATAAATGTATGGCAAAGTGCAGCAGGGAGCACTGTGGGCTGGAGTCTTAAGGACACTTCACACAAGAGGAGAAACTTGGAGGATGGAGTGGATTAGGCTAGGCGGGATGGCATGGTGGACGAGGGCAGCAAACATGGGGAGTGGAGGGCAGAAGAAAGCACAGTGGGTAGAGAAGACAGCATCTCTGTAAGCTTTACCACATGCTAGGGAGGCTCCAGGCACTCCCTAGTCTCAACCTTTCCAGTTGGACCTCTACATAAGCTATCTGCCTATTTTCCTGTCATGGTACAGAGGGCTTAATGTTGTGGTGGCAAGGTGTAGAGGGACAGAGAGCATCCTGTGGCCCTGTGATTAAGGGCTGTCCCCTTTACAAGTACCTCTCATTTTTTTTCCCCATTAGGTGGGACAGGAAGGTGATAGTGGGCTGGAGTTGGTTAGGTTCTGGAAAATAGTAGGTCTTATGAAGAAGAACAGAATGCTATGGCATATTTCAAAAGGCTACTTTCTCTTTAAAACTCAAAGGGGGTTTGCTTCCATCTTCATTGTGAGAACCTGGTAGGGTCCTTGAGGTAATGCTCACAAAAGTGCAGGGACCTCTTGAAGACCAGCTCCCCCTGGAATTCTCCTGTCTCAAATGTGTCCACACTGAGCCTCTAGCCGTGCATGAGTTACAGCACAGGACGGTACTACTTCCCACAGAGGTTCTGCTCCTGAAAAATGTGACTCCTTCTGTCCATTTGTCTTCTTCTAATTTGGGGAGCAGTGTTTGCCTGTGGCTGCAATTCTCTGTTGCATCTAAAATTTGTTGATGATGGGTTTGTTTGGCTTTTCTGTAGTTGCTGCAAGTACTCAAGTGATGATGCCCAAGCTCCCTGTGCGCTGGATGGGACCACATATTTCAAAAGCATTTTCTTACACTGTGTTCCGCAAAACGTGTTCTCTAGATGTCACTAGTATTCAACAACAGAGGTTCCTGTGTTCGAGTAGCTTTGAGAAGTTCCAGGTTTATTAACAGCAGGTCATTTCAGCATCTCTTTGATACTTTTACTTGCTAGGACTATGGATTGCCTTGTGGCCCTACTTAATTTCATCACAGAATTCTTCTAAGAAAAGAGTAATTCATGAAACTATCTTCCTTAAAATATGGGAAATGCTGTTTTATGGGCAGTCTTTTTAAATAACTTATTGCCTATGATTGTTTCACCTTTGTGGACATGGATGATATTATTGGTCTTATTTATGTTCATTCATTTTGCAGATATTATTAAGTCTCTCCTAGGTGTTAGGAAGTATAATAGTTCAGAGAAGGGAATACAAAGTATTTTGGCCATGGCACCTTTTTTGAACTTAGAGTCTGGTATGAAAGACATGTACAGAATTAACTTTAATTTTACCAACTTTAAGAAATCTCTCCCCCACATTTCTGCTGTTTACAAAAATGAATCAAATTAAATCTAGAGATCCAAAACTACAAATAAAAAAATAAATGAAAGCTGTTCCCTTCCCACATTTCATTGAGGGGTCAAGTTGGTTTCACAAGGGAAAAAGTCTTGTGGATCAGGTTTCTGGGCAAAATATCAATCCATATGACACTGCCCATGATTTGCCATCTCGTTTGCTGATCTGTACCCATTGCAACATCTCTTCACTGTTTCCAGGAGTCTCTGCGGACAGCATCTGCAGGCAGAAAATGAAGAACTGGGTGGACTCACTTCAACTGGTTATTCTCAGTTGGTGTTAGGGCTTTGCAGAGGATAAGGACCCATATACACATAATGCTTCTAAGCACCTGGTGCAGTGGTATAGGGCACTTTATTTAAGTGTGGAAAGGGCTTTGGGTGATAAGAACACTGGAGCAAATACTTCAGTCTGCTGAGTATACTCAGCACCCTTTGGAAAATCCAGCCTTCAACAAGAGGAAGCATGTACTTACTCAAGATTCAAAAGAATCTCACAGACAGATGCTAGCAATTTCAGGGAAGGTCTGGCACAGAGAAAGAGGCTCCAGATCATTATCAAAACAAATAAAACCCTTCAGCATCTGGAGAGACACAACTAATGCTTATTATCTCTCAGCTTCCTACACCTAATGGAATCAGTTCTCGGAATCTTTCTACTTCTTGCGGGTGGAGAAACCACATTGTGTCCTATTTTATTCTCCTCCAAAACTGTATTTATCTCAAGCTTAGGAAAATAAGATTTCAATCAAGTATCACTTATAACAAGCACATGCATTATGATGCATTTTATAGAACGAAGTTAAAATGCTACAGCATTCTATGTTAGATTCTCAGGGAAGCACAATTCAAATAATCATGAGTTCTTTAGGCCTTACTTATATTTCATGCAGAAACTCATTCTATAGCCTGTATTAAAAGCAAATATTGTTTTCTTATTTTATCTTACAGATGGCCTCCTTTGTGTTGATTTTGGTAGCAGTTGCCAAGCAAAATCTCAAAGTGTTTCTGAGTTGACTTGGAAGCTTATAACACCACAAAGGGACCCTACATCACATGCTCAGTGGCACGTGGACCACACTATGGGACCTGAGTGTGGAAATATCTGGGTATGATGAGTTCTGTCTCTTGTCAGAAATCATCCCCCAGCTTAATTATTTGTTAATAGATCCCAACGTTTTAAAAGTGTCTGGTGATCATTCCTTTATGGGGAGGCCAGGCCATTATTTAGGATAGGGAAGTGAATTTTAACAGGTCAACAATCCAAACTCCATCTCTTTTGTCAGTGTTAGGTTCAGGAATGGATAAGCAACATAATCCTGCCCATGACACCCATAAGAAGTTAGCTCTGGACTTTTGGGGCAAGTTTTCTTACTTTTAAGTGGGTACCCAAGGGGAGGGTATTCTTCATTCTTATCTTTTGTCATTTGGTTGACTTTTGGTAGCAAGGGTGTGAGCCTTGGAGCTATCACCTTGGGGGGAAGGGAGTCGGTCCAAGGGGAAAAAATCAGCCTGGTAAATAGAGCAGAGAGAGAAAAAACCCTGCAGCTTCCAGTGCATTATCGAGATGCTGAATTGACCTACCTTGGACTGTCCTAACTGGTCATCTTATTTTGTGAAAGAATACATTTTTCTCCTTGTAAGCTACTCTTAGTTGTGTTTTCTTTTATAGTGTCCTGATACAATAATGAAGAATAAGAAATAACAAATTATTCCTTGTGTACTAGGGGACATTGAATCACCCTTGGCATCGGGAAAGCAAGGCATTACAAGCTTTTGGATAGATTACAGGAACAAGCGTGAGGCTATGAGTTACCTTTGGGGGGGTTCATGCAGATTTGAAGAGCAAAGGGAAGACCCTGAACACCTGAACTGATCTCGATTTGAAAAACTCAAACTAAGAAGTAAGAACAAGATGCCAGTGTTGGGCATCATTTCTCCAACGCTTCATTAGCCCACAAGGAAAATGTAGTGTGGAAAAGGTCTGAAAACCTAGGTGAAGTTGCCATATCACCAGGGGGGACATGTGTGAGCCTCAGCAAGGATGCAATACAGTGAGGAAAATAGGTTTTTCCTCACTCCAGCACCTCGTTGTGATGAGGCAGTGTGAGCCTTTACCACAGCTCATCATCTCTACAACAGCTCTGCAAGGCAGACAGAGCTGTCCGGCTCCAGCTGGCTGCCCCCGCAGAATTGTCACATGCCATAGGTCTCTTGGATCTGCATCAACAACCGGCTTGTGTCTGAGACACGCTCTGCCATCCACTCCTTTGACAACTCCAAGAGTGATGAAAACCCTCCACGCTTAAGAATTGAGCGTTTTTAATTCATTTGTCACAAGATAAATGTGTTGCCTGTGTGCTCTGAACCAAATCCTGATGTGTTTCTTCGGATGAAGAAAACATACATTTAAAAAATCTGATTGACAATAACAACTTCTTAATAAGCAGAGGGGGAAAAAAGGTGAAAATGGAAGATTAACCATTTCTCACGACCCCCAGAAGGCAATCTGTGTGTGCTAGAGGGCTTTAGTTGACTTCTCTTAGAAGCTCCTGAGGGAGAAGAAGGCAGCCCTTGACATCCGGAGCTGGCCTGGCATTTCTGGCTGCACCTTGGTGTTCTTCTGTTGAACAATTTCCTGCATCAACATGAGGCAAGGCCACTCTGTGACCATGATGGATCAAAAGAGAAGCAAGACTATTTCATAATCACTTCTGAACACTGATAAAATATGAACAATGTCCAAGCCACAGAATACCAAGCATCCCTCCATCCTGGCTAGTAGGACTGATGGTCTCAGCCTTGCCCAGCTTGCTCTCCCTCCAGGTAAGGGCTGTGGAGATGCTGTAAGTACAGTTGGGTTACTATAACACAGCATCACAAACTAGGGTATTTTACAGATATTAATTTTCTCATAATTCTGGGGGGCCAGAATTCTAAAATTAATGTGTCAGTAGGAGGCTCTGAGGGAGATTCTGCTCTGAGCCTCTCTCCCAGCTTCTGTTGGCTACTAGAATCCTTGGCTTATAGACCAATCACTCCACTCTTTGCTTCTCTCTTCACATCACTGTCTCCTCTGCTCCTCTGTTTTGTCTCTGTGTCTTCTCTTATAAGGGCATTGTCAATGGATTTAGGGTCCACCTGTTTAACTCAGGACGAACTTATTTCAAGATCCTCCATTTACTTATATTTACAAAGACCTTTTTCCCAAATATCACATTGGGGTTTAGGGCTTGAACATCTTTTTTTTTTTTAACATATATTTTTTTGATTATAGGTGGACACAATACCTTTATTTTATTCTTATGTGATGCTGAGGATTGAACCCAGTGCCTCATGCATGCTAGGCAAGTGCTCTACCACTGAGCCACCACCTCAGCCCTGTACATCTTTTCTGAGAGCAACAATTCAACCCAGGAAAGAGAATGAAACACAGAGTTGTCCCAGTTTCCTGACAAAATTTAATCCAAGGCAAAGTCTCACTTTCTTAAATCCTCTTCAAAATACTTAACACAAACCCCAATCCTATAATCAGTCTTTTCTAATACCTGAGATGGCCCACCGTGGTTTAGTTCCATTCTGGGTATGGAAAGCCTGAGAACCAGGAGAACTGACAGTGTAGAGTGAGTCTGAAGGCTGGAAGTCTCAGAGAACTGATGTTTTAATTTGAGTCTGACAGTCCCTCCCCCAGCCTGCCGCAAAAGTCAATATTGTAGCACACAGGCAGAGAGCATGAATTCTCCTTTAATCAACCCTTTTATGCCAGTGTGGCCTTCAACTGAATTGGAAATGACTTACCTGTATCAGGGAGGGCAATCTTCTTTATGCTGTTTACCAGTTTAAGTGTTAGTCTCATCCCAAAACACCCAGACTAATGTTTGACCAAATACCAGTGCATCCCATGGCCCAGTCAAAATGACACATTAAATTAACCATTGCAGCATTTTCCCCAAGATCCCACAGCTGGTCACTGGTGGAGACAAAATTCAAACCCTAGGCAATTGACTCTTAAATCCACTCTCCTACAAAGCTCTGCACCATCTCCATTTTTACAGGTGGGCTTTATCCAGAGATGATCGAAGATACAGTCTGTGTTAATTATCACTGTTCTTAAAGAGTTTGAACCACACAGTTTGGAAATGAGTTGCACATTGTCTTATGCTTTGCTATTGTTTCATGTATGATTTCTTTTCACCTCTTTTATTATATTGTAAGGAATTTGGGGACCAAGTGCTATGTCTTATGCTATAATAACAGCTAACATTAATAAATACTTATTATGGACTGTGTACTCCACAGGCATTTATCCATTTAGTACTCACGATACCACCCCAAGTTGGCTGCCTCTATTATTGCCACCTTGTGCATGAGGAGACTATAACCCAGATACTCATCAGCTTGCACAAAGTCAGAGGGGCACTAAGTAGAGACAGGCAATCTGGCTCCAGAGTCTGTGCCCTAACACCACATTCTTAATGTCATTATAATATGCTTCTTGAATCCTCTTCCCCCACTTGTCCCTCATTCTCAGAATCCATCTCAGTAGGCACCCAGGGTCTCTCTCTGAGCAATTGCTTTCAGAGATGAATAGTTCTTTGGGAGGCCAAATGGTTTTGAGGTTGGCTGACCAGGTGTGAGGATTGGGTGGAGTCCCTTCTGTAGGGTGCACCTGGCTTGTGGTCTGACCTGTGCCTTTCTCTGTGCCTCCACTGCTCAGTTTCCTGTGTCTCCACTTGCCTCACTAAAGGGTGTACCTCCGGGGCCCTCCCTCTGCACAGACGCTCAGGTTGTCCTCACTTGCCTGAGTCCTGGTGCCAAGGCTGGGCTTTGAAAATGCAATGTCACCTTACTAAGCACTGGCTGGCTGCTGCTAATATGAGGTGCTGCCCCACCAGAGCTGTACAAACAGGTTCTTTGCAGAAGGGGAGATCTGCAGGCTTATCCTTAGGCTGGGCACAGTGCCTGGGTGTGGGTCACCAGGCTTTGGCACACCTAGTCCTCTCTCTGGAGCTGCTTGGATGCATGCTAATTCAATACTCCAGGGAGTCAGAGTAGGGTGTCCCATTCCCCAACTCCCAGAACACTTTCTTCCATCTTACCTGAACCAGCAGGCAATATATCCTAAAGCAAGAGACTCCTTCCTTCAAGAAGGATATCTGGATCAGGTTTAGAAAGAGAGAACGTTTTTCAACTTGGGAAGGTACCTCTCCTTGGTGTCCCTTAAGTACTCAGATGTCTTGTCAGAGCCCTTTATTATTAAGTCACCGTCTTCTTTTTTAAAGGCTAGACTGTGAGCTCTTTCAAGGCAGAACTATGTTTTAAGGTTCTAAACACCTAGTACAGGGTCTGGAGTATAGGCATCATTTAGGAACTACTTTCTGAGTGATAAGGTATAAGACTTCCTCTTGATCTTCTATCATATTGTCTTGTTATATGGAATGGATCACTGATAGGGCACAGGAGCCTCGTTGGTACATCTCAGCTCTGAGAAAACCAGCTATGCTACTTGAGCAATGCAAATTTACTTCTGGACCTCCTTTTTTTTTTTTTTTTGATAATGAGGACTGAACCCAGAGGCCCTTTACAATTGAGCTACAACCTCATTCCTTTTTATTTTTTATTTTGAGACAGGATTTTGCTAATTTGCTGATACTGGCCTTGAATTCTCCTGACTCAGCTGCCTGAGGTGTTTGGATTATAGGCGTGCACCATTGTACACACTTTAGACCTTCATTTTATTTACTTGAATGAATGACAAGGTTGAATCAGAGACACTCTAAGGTCCCTTCTGGGTTCAACATTCTAGGACTCTGTATGTGAGGTGTTCTGCAGAGAGAAGAGGTTATAGGACATGTTTCCTGCCTTACATGAATCTATGAAGGTAAAAGTGATACCATGGACACAGTCACACTGCTATGGGTCTCTTCTGCTCTGAAATAGCAGCTTTAAGGACTGATGGAGAAGAAAGTGGGGACTGGAAGGGGTGAGACTTTTTCAGAGCTCTCAGGGTGGCAGCCTCTGCCTCAAGTAATAGTACCTGCCTTCATACAAGGCCATACTGTTACCAGAATGCCTGTGCGAGAGACCTTTCTGAGAGTTCCCCTTGCCCCCTCCAACACTGATCTCTGTAATACTGCTGCCAAAACACAACAAAGACTGCCCACTTCAGACCATATGCTCAGGATAAAATCCTTCTTGCAGGGACTCCTGGGGGGAAGGAAAGACATAACTCTTTGATCTTGATCCCTAACAAAGAATTTGTCTTGGGATCTTTGAAATCTTGGAGGAAAATAAAAATAAAAATAAAAAAGACCTGGACTTTGAAATCCTTCCTTGTTTGATGTATTATCACCAAGGTGACAAATATTTTCCTCTGAAGGCAAATTTTTTGTTGTTGTTCTGGGAAAATACTACAATGGTTATTTGGTTATTAAAGGAAAAGCAAATATTCCTGAACACAGAAATTTAGATCCTGCCTTTCCAAGGGGTTCTGGTGTCATATATAATCACATAACAAGCTGTTTTCATCATGGATGGCGTGGCAGCTTTGTAAATTATTTTCTAGGGAAATGCTTCATTTTTAAGGAAGGTTTATTCTGCAAAGTATAAAAATTGTTTCTTGTTCTTAGAAAATATGTGGATGTTCTTGTGAGAGGGGAGGCTGGAATCTCCTGGGCGTGAGGGTATTGGAGACCTGTCCTCACTTAAGCTTGTGAATGATCACCAGGGGTCTGGATTGGTGGCTCAAAGCCCATCTGGGTAGGTTTGCTTGGAGCCTAGTCTTTGCAATATTCTAGATTTCCTAACCTAGACTTTGGAAATGGACTGCTGTTTACTTAATTGCCTTTTAAGTATCTAAGGTGAGATCTAAGGTAAGACCAACCCTCCCTGAATGGTGAGGACGTTAAATTATTAATCATGCTGGGACATGTCAAGTGGGGGAAAACACAGAGAGGTTTGGGGAACATTGAGACAGGGCTTGCAGGGTAGGACTCCATGGGAAGAAGGAGAACCAGAGGCCTCTTTCTCTCCCTCTGTTTGGTAGAGGAAATGCAGAGTTCAGGACAGGTGAAGGGGCTGTGATCTGGCTAGGTGGGGCCCAGTAGAGGGTGTACATGGAAAGGTTTGACTGTGAGCTTCACCATTCCTCATTTCCAGTACCAGTTTAAACTTTCCAAGTTATAATTCCTGTCTCTGTTGTTTCTAAGTCTTTATTAAATTTTTATTAGTCATTAAAGCTTGGATTTAGCAATGCTGTTGGGGGAATTAAAGACCAGGATGATCCCAACATCAGTTCATGTGACAGCTCCAGGGGGGGACTGGCAGCAAGGGGAATGGGGTCTTAGTGGGAGCTGAGGTTAAAGATATGGGTGGAGTGAATGTAGGAGGCACAACTGGGATTGCAAGGCCAATGAAGCATCTATCATGAGATAACCACATCCCCAAATACACTAGAGGAGAGAAGATCTTCAAACAGGGAGGCCAGGACCTACTATATTTATGCTAGTGGGGCACAATGAGTCAGCCAACAAGTGGGTTATTTTTAGTAAGGTTTATCCAACACCTGTGTGGGACCTAGAATGACGAAGGGCAAAGGCTTGCAGGGCCCTGTGTTGGTTGGAAGAAAGGATTCTAAGAGCAGTGATATGCACTCAGAGAACAAGACGGTACTGCAGAGAAGATGAGAATGAGTATATGGGCAGAGGAAATAAAAGACATTATTAGTGCTATAATCAGTAAAGTGTAGGATAGAGAATATCAGAGACAAACATCTTAACTTTGCCACAAAGCGGGTGCAGTCCCTTATGTTTTCCTAGATTTCAGTTTTCCAACAGTGAGTGGTTTGTTTACGTGGGATGCTTCTGGTGTCTCCCTCTGTGTTCCCTCCCTGAGCAAATGTGCTACCACCACGCAGCAGGTTGACATTCCTCCACTCTAGTCTTTGCTTCCCACTGACTCTGAGCAACTCTGATTATAGCATCTGATAGTCAAAATTGGCAAGTGTCACTGTGGAGCTATGTTTTTTGGTCTGGTTACCCAAATGCAGGCTTGATGTCTTAGGGGAAAAGGAGCTCAAAGAGCTTCCTGAGGATGACATGGGAATGGCGACTGCAGATGCCTTTTCCAATGTTGAGCACTGGAACTTCAGTTAGAGGCTATGGTCATATGCACTAATTTATGGGTCCTGGGCCCTGTTCTCCCTGTGTACTCGGCAAGAGTGTTAGCCTCATCCACGAAGACTCCTCATCTATGTGTGTTAGATAAATGAGTTGATGGCAATTATGAATTTTTATAAGAATCATATTTTCAAAGCTAACTGTCAATTCTTATTGCCCGCAGAGGGCTCTGTGCTGCTTCCAGATGTGAGAGGAAGTTTGGGAGATATCATTTCGATGCTGAAATACTGGAATTTGGGGACCATTTTGGAGATTTCTGGAGTCTGGGTAAAATTTTACAAATCAAGAGCATCCTTTAAAAAAACCAAAGATGTGTAATCACCACATGGTACTTTAACGTTCTCTCTGCCCCATAAACATCTTCTGACCATCCTTAAAGCCAGGTCCAGGAAAAAATCTGAAGCAGGTGGAAATTATCCTCAGGGTTCTCATTTCTCCTCTTGAATTCTCCTTCCCTGAAATTGGTCTTTACTCTCCCCAGGCTGTCCAGGATACTCTGCTGGTCACTCTGCTTTCCTGGTGCTGACCTAGACCCTGGACTTTCCTGACACTCCTCCTTTCTTTTTTCTCTTAATGTATCTGAATGGTATTCTTGTGCTGCTGATGGTTCTCTTCAAGTGTCTGTAGTCTTTCTTGGAAGGAGGAGAAGTCACTTCATTCTGTCATCCTGATCTGGAACCCCACTAATGTCCTCTGGATACATTGGAAGTTAAATGTTTAATCCTGGCCAGAAAACTAATGGTGTATTTTGACACAGCATTGAGCCCAAGCTTATTTGGTTTCTTTGCCTATTTTATTTAATGGGCACATGTATGTTTCCAGAGAAGTTTGGAGAATCTGTTGAAGATAAATACGTATTTCCTAAGTCTAGTAATATAGGAATCTAAAAGAGTATTTGGAGGCATTTGATGGCTAGAGAGCTGACATGGCAAATGTTTGGGACCTGCTGAACAGGTCCTGAAGTGGGGCATCTCAACTTCCCATTACATTCTCTATATATTAGTTGGCATTCTGCAGTAGGGTTTTTGGGTGGACGCAAATAGGCTTGGTGAGGAAAGATTTGGGGAGACATAGAGGACTGTGTCTTGGTTAAAAGAGTAGAGTAGGAAGTTTACTGGCTTCAAATTTTGCCCCCCCCGCCCCTTCAAAAGCAAGGTGCTCTTAGGCAGGTTGCAAATGTGCTACCTTAACCTTAAACCTTGGTTTTCTCATCATAAACCTTTTTATTTTCTCATAAAATACCTTCTTCAGCTGGAGCCCAGGCCCAGGTCAGGCCTAGGACTACTTCTGCCAACCCATGCCAGAGCCCAGGCCCAGGCTCAGGATCACCTGGCAGATCCTTGTGGGAGCCCAGGCCTATGTCAGGCCCTGGAGTGCCCCCACTGACCCACCCAGGAGCTCAAGTCTAGGTAAGGCCCAGGACTGCCCCCCTACCTGCTGACCCACACTGGAGCCCAGGCCAAGGTCAGTCCCAGGACTGCCCCTACTTACCTGTGTGACAGCCCAGGCCTAGGACTGCCCCCACACAGAGCAGAGAACCACACTGGGGTGCCCCATTTACCAACGCACTGCTCCCCCAGCATGCCTCCATCTTGGGACATTGCAGCCATTGCCATAGCCCTCCATACCTAGTAGCCTCCACCTTGGGACAATAGACAGGGCCTAGAGGCAGCTGCATCTCCAAATAGGCAGCCCAAAGACAGCCCCATCTCTGAAAGTGGTTGCATTCATCTTGGGGCACCTCCACTTCTATCTTGAGTTACCTCCACTATTGCCACCACCACCTTTTGTTGCAGTAGCACCCATCTTGGGACACTGGCCAGGGATTGGAAGCCCAATACCAAGGTAAAGTACAGGTAATCTGCAGGGACACTACAAGATTATAAGGTAGAAATTGTAATAATCCACACTGTAAGAAAGAAAGACACATAGACAACATGAAAAAACAAGGAAAGAAAGTGCCCCAAACAAAACAAAATACTAAAATAATAGAATCCATTGACAGTACAGTTGATGAAATGTCAGAGAAGGAGTTTAGAATGTACATAATTAAAATGATCTGTGAATTAAAGAATGACATAAGAGAACAAATACAGGCAAAAATTGATCACACCAACAAAAAGATAAGGGAGCAAATACAGGTAGCAAAAGATTACTTCAAGAAAGAGAGATTCTGGAAAAAAAATCAGAAATCCTTGAAATGAAGGAAACAATAAACCAAATGAAAACCTCAATAGAAAGCAGCACCAATAGACTAGATCATTTGGAAGACAGAATGTTAGATAATGAAAACAAAGTGTACAATCTGGAAAATAAAGTTGACTACACAGTGAAGATGGTAAGAAACCATGAACAGAATATCCAAGAATTATGTTATAGCATCAAAAGACCAAATCTAAGATTTATTGGGATAGAGGAAGGCACAGAGATTCAAATCAAAGGAATGCAAAATTTCTTCAATGAAACTATATCAGAAAAATTCCCAAACATG